CGCCTGTGTGATAATCCTGGTCCGCGTTGTAGATGATTACAGCTTTGATGGCTCAGGTTGATCTAAGATTTCCTAGTTTTGAAGATAATTATGCCGTGAGCGTCAACAGTCAGATACTGCTCATTGACACAAAGCCGCGAGGTCAATTAACTCTTCAAAAAGAATTCATTGACAGGCTTCTAACAAGCCTTGTATTATTATTCAAATGTGTCCCTCTGGCTTATTGCATACGAAAACAATATTACAACTAAATTGTTAGCACTTCACAGCGAAGGAAGAGGACACAGGACTTAAAAAAAGTAAATGTTGAAACCGTGTTGATAGACTCAGTCCCTGTACTGGTTCCGAAAGAAAACACCAATAGCCAAAAACACATACAATCACAACGACATGAAATTCCAAATACCTCAAGTCGCCTTAAGTCGCCTTAAGTCGCCTTACGTCGCCTAAAGTCATCTAAAGTCACCCTAAGTCTCCTTAAGTTTCCGTGGGTTGCTATTGGTTACGCAATGTCATAAGGGTTCCACCCTTCCCAATTGAACCTATCCACTCCACTCCAATCGGCGACTTAAGGTCCCAGGGTAGGCCTAAAGAGCGCAGTTTGGACAAACAAATTTTTTACTTTCTCTCCCCTCCTTAAATGAATTTTCTCTCTGGCTTCGACTCCGTGAATCACTCGACGTGTTCTTGGCTGGTGTGTCTTTTTTTAGACTCGATCCTTTTACAGTCTTTGTTGTGGGAATCAAATATCCTTATCGCTTGTTCTTTTTGGGGCTTTTGTCTTTTGTTAATCGGCTTAAGAGGATCTTGCAGCATTGTGCAACATTGATGAGGCATATACGTTCATTTTTCATAATTTAGTAGTAAGTATTACATTGGCATTGAGACAGATTTGTAGAATAGCTGTAATCCAGATGGGTTAGCAAAATATGATAAAATAGCCATGTTTTTTTAGTTACAAAGAAATCCCAAGTAGGTTTTTAATGGTAATATTAAGGACGTGTTTTTGCGTTGTTATTATATTCGTTGCAGTTGTGGTAGGAACTATGTTAGCTGTTCATTCTGACCCGTCTGCATTTTACACCAGAATGTTTTTACTGCAATACTCTACAACTATTCAACAGAAGGCACATGCAGTCAGAGACTGCCTTTAACTGAGTACAATTTTTTTTCTATAGTTTGTCTCTGTTTCGCATGCCTCGCACGCCTCGCCGCACCATGAGTCGCCTGCCTGGCATGCGTAATGGCAAGACTCATTAATGAGATCCTGTGGCGAGCAATTCAAGCTTGAAAGCTTAGTGAAACCGCCACAATTAGAGAAAAAAGTAATATAGTAATTTCGCAGTACTTGAAGTAACCTTTGCTAAAATAGTGAAACAGATTTTCCTTTATTATCATACCTTAGGAAGATTGAAGAAGAAGCAGCAGTAGACTTTCCAAAATTGGCCTTTTTGGGAACTTTTAGTATGAGAGGAGACATTGATTCGGTCTCACTTTTCTTCAAAAATCATTGCACTCATTACTGAAGCAGCTTACTAAAGATACACGTCTTCTCTGCGTATGGGCGTTTTTGTGTTCTTATTGAAGGACAAAAAGTTGTAAACTTGAAGGATTGAAATCTTAACAATGGTTGCCATGATCGAAAAATGCAGTCACTTGCAGCTGTAACTAATAGTCTATAACCTGACATGTAATTGAACACGCGTAAATCTAAAAGAGAACTTGTAGATTGCGCTTGAAAAGAAAGAAGCATGAATCCAAATGCGAAAATGGCGGAGGGAAATGTTGAAATGTTTGGACCAGGAGCTCCCTTCAGAGCTCAAAGAACTCCTGCTCAGAACTTTAATCCTTCAAATGGTTGATGGTGACGATCATACCTTTTCAACGGGATCTTTTGTGAGAATGGAAGAGGACAGAGAGGAGTTATAAGAACTGAGTCGGCTATAGTTCAAGCTAACGATCAAGCGATCGTTTTGAAGAATCTGCCTTCGATTGTGTCGCAAAGAAACTGATCTATAAGACTGGGATATTCTGGAAGCAAATAAAAGGAGAACGAAACGGCAAAAGGAGAACCAAGAACAAAGCCGATACTTGGACAATGCTTTTGCTGTATTCCCAAGAAATTGATCACAAAAAACTATCTGACATTGACACACAAATGAAAGAAACCCATAAGCAACCTCGAAACCAGATCCTGAAACTTCAGGCCACAGTGAAAGGGCAAGCAGTGAACTTGTATAAGCAGCAGAAAGAGTAGCAGAGGGAAAAACACTAAGACATGGATTTCCGCAACCTGATCGATCAACTTTCGAACATGCAGTAAGTGCGTTACGAAGTTGTTTTCTATGCTTTATTTGGCTGAGCGATTAATACGTTTATTTTGTTTTAAAACAATTTCTTTTTGTGTCGTCCATTTCTGTCTGTAATCATGCTCATGATTGTCAAATCAGACTTACGCTTCGCGGCCGCTCAATTTTGTTAATCACTCGTATGATTACAGACCGAATTGGACTCAACTCGGTCCTATTACCATTACTAGCAGAATGGAAGTTTCCTGAAGTCTCGCCGGTCTTCAAGTGCTTGAATTTTTATTGATTTTGTTGTTGATGTTCATCGTTCCCGTAAATTTGTTGTCAGTAAAGCAAAGATTTCCTTCACTAAAAATTTCCACAATTTATGGGAATTATTTTTACCCATTGAATAGTGCCTGTCTAAAAAAAGGTGAAAATCGTCGGGGATGATAAGGGAAAAAAGAGAAAGGAAATCTTGTCCCAGCCCCAGGAGTAAAAACACATGCACTACAGAACGAGCAGGCCAGGGGCCCGTTTCTCAAAGGTCCCGGAAACTTAAAGCTAACAAGCCCATTGAGCTGTTTTGTTTTCATTCAAGATGGGGGTTTCAAAAGTTTTGAAAATTATACAATAAAACTGTAAGGTAGAGAAGCAAAATGGATTAGTTGGAATGCCAGAACCAGTGTCTCTATTTTTAAAATTTTGATTGTTTTAAATTATGCCTTCGGGCCCGTTAAGCTACCAGAAATTTCGAGAAACGGGTCTCTGGTTTGACTGCTGATTTGGTTTTTCGAGCTTCTTCCTCCCTCCATTGTAAAGCATCTTATTCTTTCTTGGTCGGCAACTATGACGTATGGTCGGAAGGAAAAAAAGAAAGGAAAATACTTATCTATGAAACAACATCAGGTATGATCCATTTGACCATATGTTTCCCTCACAGTTCAGTCAGCAATAACAAGCTAGAAGTCGATACGAGGAAAAAAAACACGAGACGGCGAACGAGGTTTAGAAATAGCTATCAATGAATCGTAATTTATGTTCACTTATGACCAGGTACTACGCCACCTAGAGTTCCTGAGCCGGCTGATGATTGCATAACTAAGAACGTCGTCACCATTCTGCCGTACAAAGTGTGGAGAGAATTGATCATTAAATTAGATCCCTTGCGCCAATTAGGAGGAGATTACAAAGATCTCACCAGTGAAATGGGATATGACGTGGAGAAAATCTTGTATTTCCAATCGGGAAAGATCTAACAGAGGCCCAACTCATTGACTGCGCAAACTCAGTCTCAATTGACAAACTTTGTAACAAGCTGAAGGCGATTGGAAGATCTGATGCAAGGAAAGTGCTTGATGAATGGATCAAGTGACGGAACTGCGAATGTGCAACCTGCATCAGCTGGAGCCACTATGCGCACGCCAACAAGTATTTCTTTTTTAAGGAGGGAGGGGGTGGGGGTGGGAATGTCATAAAAAGAAAAAAATTCCAGCGAGCAACTCAGGAGTAGAGCTTTTATTTAAATAAACAAGTTGTTTGGGCTGAAGATTTCAATTACTCGTCACCAATTTTTGTGAATATTATTTCAGAAAATTTAGCTTTTCACTTGTTTCTTTAGGTAAGCAGTTTCGTTATTTGATTTTAATGATTCATGGAGACCATGACCCGAATGCAGCTCTTTAGTGAACATACTATTGTGACAGGTAGGTTTGGAAACCTGCTTGAAACTTGTTTGCATTGTTACCACTCAGTAGAGACCCGAGTTAAAACCGGATTCTTACATGTTTTGAGATCTTGTACAGTTCGACAACCTGATGAGGCACCAAAGAAAAGACACAAGCTGTTCCAACAGCTTGCAGAGTTCAGTGACACGAAGTAGAGTTTAGTGACATGAAAGTAAATAAGTACGTAACCGAATAATAATACGATGGAAGCGCATTAAAGAAACGTTAAAATCAAGGATTGCGTAGCTGCAGTTGGGGACTATCCCTTCCTTTCACCCCAAAAACTTGTCACCCCTTCAAAATCGTGCTCCTCACACAGAGGCCTGGAAACAAGGATAGTTGTCAGTTCACTTCGTCCAAAGAGAGGAAGGCAGAAATGACTTCCCAGAGGAACGAACAAGAGAACTTGCGGACTTCGATTTTCTCGATCGAATTATCTAAAGGTCCGCGCTCTCCTCCTATGAGGAAAGGAACAGCCTTCACAGTGAAACTGGATGGATCATTTTCAACCTATTTGATGACTAGTTGCTCAGTGGTTGAACGAAGTGGAGCAACTTCCTCAAGCCGGCTAACTTGTAAGCGATTTGGTCAGTCTCTTCCGGAGGAGAAACATCCTATAAACCCAGATTCAGCAGAATCTACAAAAATGGAAGAATTCTGCTTTATTCCTTACGAATCGCCTTCGAACTTAAAATTAATCAGCGCCGATAAGCTGTGCAAAGAGGGAGAAATGATGACGCGGAAGTCTACTTGCAAATCATTTACATTCTTAGGAAATTCCTTCACCATCATGACTTGGGAATTCAAAAATGATGAAGAGACTTATGTTTTAACCGGAATTGATTCTGATGTGGAGCTTGTTGCGAGTTCTTGCAGGGGATCGCCTGTAGTTTCCATCGACGATCTACGGACGGTTATTGGAGTGGTGACCTGCTCGTCAAACGGAGACCTTGAATTGCTCTTCCTCGAAGCAAACTCTCTACGTGAAATAGAAGGTAGGGATGTGCTTTAATGTAATTCTTAATGTTAATTCTTAGGGAAAATCCCCCTTTGAAATTTCCTGTGAGGTCTTCAGTGACAATGAAATATATGGTTTGAATTTTTTGGTTCCTTCGACTTCAATCCATCCTCCCCAGTCAGTGTGATGCTTGGCTGGCTGGCGGCGAAGGTACGTTAGTTGTAAACTTACGGTCGTTCTTTGACTTTTGTATGCAACCACATTAATCGAGAACAGGGAGTCACACTTATCTGAAGGCTTCTCTCAAAATGGTTCAGGTAGCGGTACAAAATTTTCGCCTACTTGCAGGGAAAAACAAATGCAACATAAGTTATGGTTAAAAGCAACTGGAACGAATAAAGTTTTGAAGTTAAGTAGCCTACTTAAAAACTATCTAGTGTTTGGCTAATAAATTTACAATATTGGGATAATTTTATCAAAACTTATCAAAACCATGCTGACTTTATCGATGATTATCATTCTAGGACAACTTAAAGCCAGATGTTCAGATGACAGTGGAATTGATGTTGCAGACTCTCCCTTAATTGTACGTGGTCCACCATCATCTGCGTCTGCCCGTCATCAACGAAATACACATCCAGGTACAGTTTTCGCTGTGCTAGTAGAGCTAAGTTTACGATCACACACTTAATGAATTCAGTGAATAATTTTAGTTAAGCTATACTGAAAAAGGTCAATATCACGGAAGGAAAACGACAATATATGTATATATATATACATGTTAATTCGTCCAAATATACTCCAGTTATTTACGTAAATATGACCAGTTCAGTTGGGCCTAAATAATTATTCTCCTCCCTGAGCCTTTTTACAGTCTTTACCCTGGGAAGTAGTATTTCATTGCGAGTTTTATTGAGCTAGACAAATAACACTCTGGGATCTATTCGTAAACAGAAACCAAAGCAGAGAGAAGTTTTTTTTATTTTGATTGTATTGAAAGATGTTAAGATTGATTTTAACGCTGAGATAGTAGATTTAGATGACATTAAATGTTGGTAGAGTGCCTAAAGAAAGTTTACAGATCACTCTTCTTTTGCTTTTGGCTTACAAGATCTTCGAGATGTGTACTTATGCAGCAACATAAGGCAGTTTAATTGATATGAAGTGCATACAAATGCTTTGGGTTTGTAGATGTACAAAAAGATAGCTTTTTGACCAATCAGACTGTACATGATACCTTATCTATATTGTAAATGCTTACACATCAAGATGACTATCAAAATATTGAAGCTTATATCTGCAATTAGACCTATAGGGGTATTAAAATGAAACTTGATTTTTAATATCACATTTAATTTGTGGCAACCCAGCAAACAGAAATCTTAATTTCCCTTTAGTGTGCAAAATAGTTTTCAGATCTGATATTTTAAAAATACAAGGACTGTGGTGGTTCAGATTTGTTAACAGTGAATAATATTCTTACAATAATATTCTTGTTACAGTAAATATGTGTCATAGCATTCAGGAACAATATTCATGCTCAAATGCTACATTCTTGTGAATAAATTGTGCTTGCTTGATTTGAAGGAAACCTGGTAGTTAATTTCTAGCACCCATGTAATTGTTCTTAGTAATTTAAACTTAGTAATTACTGTCTTTTTACATACCAATACACAGAAGATACTGGAACTAATGCCCAAACATCATCTGAAGGTTTAGAAAAACGTCTATCACATGTGTCAGTTCAGGGTAAGAATTTCACATGTATTTCTTACTAGGACACTGATCCTCCATTAGAGATTTTTTCAACTGAGCTACCTGCAGATTTAGCAATTTGGTAGTGTTTGATCTGTATGCATTTCTTAGAAGAAGGCTGGTCTTTCATCACAGATTTTCTGTAACTGTGCTACCTGCTGATTTATTTAGCATATAAGTGGTGGTATTTGATCTGTTCCCCTTTTAGGATTTGAATAGGTCACAGAGAACCTGGAAAGTCTCAGAATTTCATTGTATTATCAACTAGGCTTGGGAAGTCATGGAATTGCAGTTTTGGTCATGGAATATCAAGGGAAATGTCTTTCTGTGAACTTCAAATTTTGTCTATGGAAATCCTTTACTTTGTACAATTGTTGTCACTCCCCTGACACTTATTGAAAGCAAGGTTTTCCTGTAGCTGAATAATTAAATAAATGATACAATTAATTTAACACAGGATTTTCTTGACATCTAGAGACAACTCCACATACAACACAGACTTCCTCCCATGAAAGTAAACCTGAAAAGATCAGATGCATTTGGGATGAACAGGTGTCATCTTTGAAATCTTCTCAAGATTTGATGAATGATTTGAAGTTACATCTGGACCCAAAGAGGGATCTTGGTGGAGATTATTGTTCATTAGCAAGTGCATTTGGAAAAAACATGAAGTATATATGGTATTTGGATTCAAGACCGAGTCCTGTTGAACATTTGATACGAGATTACTGTGCGACTTTAAGACAGCTTGAAAGGGCATTAATTAGTCCTATGGTCAACCGAGGAGATGTTTCAGACATAGTTAAGGAGTGGGTTGAAAAAGAGGGTTGTCACTGTGAAGAATGTGGTGGTATTCGTTAGGGTTTGATCTAATTTGCAGGTGTTATTTCTTTCTACTTATTTCCAAGATTCTACAGTTTGCCTGTGGGTGAGTAAACCACATTTTTTGATAAAGTGGAACACTAGATTTCTTCTGGAATCACAGGAAATTACACCAGTCCTATAGATAAGGCCAAATTGATATTTCCAAAGTTGACAGTTTTGTCACTTGGAAGTGGAAGTTGCCGAATTAAGCAAGGAAAAGGTACTTTATGACCAATTATCCATTTAACCCACAATGTTGTCAGTAATAATTAAAACATTTAACTGCTAGTCAAGATAGTTTTGCAAACTTAAACAAATGATTTAAAAGAAATGAGTGCAGTAAGAAGTTAGTATTTGTGATAGCCTTTGGGACTGGTTATCATTTCACAGGTGTCAAAACTCAACTTTAGCTCCTGTAGAGTTTAACAGATAAAATGATTGCTAAAAAGTAGATACGATAAAGATGATTACTAATACAGTGATATAATCTGTCCTTGAGAAGGATATTCCCAATGTTGGAAAAACCAGGAAATCACTTCCTTTTCATCTAACATACATGTTGTCACTGTACCTTTAAACCTCATAGATATTTAATTTACCTTACTGACCAAAGTAGAGGTGAATAATGGTGGATATTTACCGAGCTGAGAAGCCGCAAGGTGAATATCAACCACTTTCTCGAACACTTGGGTGAATAATTGTTTTAGTATATACCACACAGATACCAAAAAATTAGTTTTAATAATTTCTTTCAATATACTGATGCATTGCCTTACTTTTTACTTGCACAAATTTGTCAAAACTGTGGCCAGTGCAGTTGCAGAGCTCAAAGTATAGATGAAAAACAACAATGCAAGGGATAATGATGAATGTAATTTTTTAGTGTCTTTAAAAGATGAAGCAAGAAGGTGTAGCTTATGTTTAATCCACTTTATCTTTAACAGATGTCTTGAAATATGCTGCACTATAAGTGTTTTTAGGCATGTATTTTTGCTAAGTATTTATAGTTCTATACTTATTTTATTCTCTGTAAATTAGGAATGAGGGTAAATATTGTTGTGAAACTATTAAAAATTATCTAGTAGGTACCTGAATATTTTTAAGTTCAATGGAGTATTTTTTTTTATTCTGGCAGTAAGTGAATAAGTTCAGTACTGCTCATCTGTTTACTTTGTGGCTCACCAAAACCACTGCTAGCAGAAACTATTAGAAAGTAATTGCTTTTAGTAAAGTAACCAAGACACTGTATCTTCAGAGTAGTCACTTAATATGGTGAACCAGAAATTTGACTCATATTAGGTAGCAATTACGGCAAACAAAGTTTTCAGTTGTTGTAATTGTTGTTTTTTGTAATGATAGCATAACAATCTTCTTAGGTTGTTGGGTGGAACTCTCAAAAATATTTTATGTGCTTTATGCATCAATCAATTTGATGCTTCAAATTGAAAAAAGGACATGGTCAGTTTTACCAACAAGAAGAGATCTCAACACAAAGATGAACTGTAACACTAAACTTTATTATTCACAAAATTGTCTTCATAATAAATAGTTTGATAGAAGTCTCTCAAAAAATAATTTGTCATACAATGTGATGGTCTGAAAGATTCCCTATCAAACAAATCTTGTGGTAACTGTAACAGTATAAAATAAATATCTCAATTGGGATAGATTTCTCAATATTTTTTAAAGTATCTTTGCAAATAGAAACATACATCTCAGAATTATATTATCATAACATCCGTTAACACAATGCAACAAGAACTACTATAATGGCAGTTTTATAATTTGTGTGAGAAGGCCTCTGACCACTATGAATGTAAATATCAATTCACTGAATGTTAATCGCTGACAGATACTAAAATGTGTCAAAAGGACAAGTATTGTTGAGATCAGTAGCCGAGAGGAAGCATTTCTGTCCTTTTCCTTTATAGCGCTTTAACACCCAAGATCTGATTGTTAATCCTCCCTTCAAGCTGCTACATATTTAGTTGTAAATAAGTCATGAGAATTTGATTAAAGATCAAGATAACTTCTACCTGGTAAGTTTCAGTATTCTCATTACCTGTTTGCTGGATAGTGTTCAGATATTATAGGGAGAAGATACAAGTGTTTAATATTTTGGTCTGATTCTTTCACTGCTGTCTTGCCACCTAATAAATTACCATGAGTTTACCAAACTGAAATTGTTTTCAATGTATCACATGCATAATTTGTCCAGAGCCAGATGGGTATCAAAATATTGTGACATCTGTTAGTTACCTATTTCCCACATGGGTTGATAGAAAGAATGGTTTTAATTAAGTGGACAGGCTCCATTGCGTAGTTTCTCCTAGGAAACAAATGGCGTACTAAAATACATCTTGGTAATCAAAACGTGAACTTTAAATGAAGAATAAGGTACAACAATAAGTACCACATCAACAACAACAGCCATAGCAAAGCTTTGTTGATTGCACGTGCAACACAGATATACAACAAACATCTTATGTAGCCCCTTAATTAAGGGATGTTTTTGGTCAAACACACTTGCAAAAGTAAGCATGCGGTAGGGTTTGCTGAGCGGTCAGTCGGTCAAAATCATCTGTGTCAAGCAAGTCACCAAGAACAGCCAACAGATCTGCATCCTGCCACAAAATAGAGCACATGATCACTCAGGAAACTCCTCCTCTCTTCATGACACACCCAATGTTCTGGTAAGGGAGAGAGAGTGTTGCATGACCACAACAAAAAGTGGCTGCAAAGGAGACTGCACAAAAAGACAGGAAATCATGCAGGAAAATAGGGCAGTTCATCCAAGTTTGGGAGAAAGATCTTTGGTGCTCTAAAGGAGTACCTCTGATGGCACCTCATGTTTGTGGGATATTTTGGGGTTCATCAAGAAATTTTCATGCCCGAGCAATGAAAAAAATGCTATAAACCTAACACAATCAGAGGAGTCAAGTGAAGCATCTATGAAAGAATTACATTAAATTTTGAAAAGATAAAATCGCAAGAAATTAATGGGATGTAGAAGGCATTTTAGGTCAGTATTAAAAATCAAGATTCTACAATAATGTTTACTTTAATATTTACAAACCTCAGTCAACTGAGAGAATGTTGTTGTAGAATCCTTATTGGGAAAATTCATCTGCAATGAAGACAATATAAGTGCTCCAATTAATTTATAAGTTTGCTCCCTCAACTTAAAAAACTATACTTGTTCATACCAAAACAAAATTTAACACCAACAGGCGGCCTAATTGTATTTTGAGGTCACTCCCAGGAGTGATCAAGAAGGAATTTCTCCTCTTGATATGAATGAATACACTTTCAATGAGAGGGAGACAAAAATATCAACTAAGGAATATTTTCTGATGGAAAAAAAAAATCTCTGAGATAAAATTACAAGAAAAGGTTAGCACACTGTGCAGAGAATTGATAAGCAGAACTTGAGTGAAACAGGCTGAATGGTCATTGAAAGGTTGACTGAAAGGCTGAAGGCACTGGCTACTTTTTCTGTAGAAGATTTGTTGCTGCTTTCAAAATCTTATCAAAAAGAGATTAAAATGGCTTTTAACGAATGAACTTCCTTAACAAAGGAAACATAACATTTTGTTGTGTGAGCATCTTGATTTTGAGGAAAACATTTAAAGCTGTCAGGAGATTAAGAAAGAATGCTCACAACATTTTAAACCAACCTTCACAATTAACTCTCCAAATAATTTCATATCTTGTGATGGGCTAGATTGCTTGAAAAAAGAATTTTTAATGAAATAAAACAATTAGTAAATCAAGAAACTCCCTGGCAACCTTGCCTTAAAGGTGTGACTATTACAAGTACATGTGGGAGTGTATCACTTCTTAAATCAAGCCAGCCTGATACCAAGATACACACTGTTCCTTGGGTATTAGGTGTTGCACAAAGTTCTGTGGTTAATGTGCACAATTCTCCTGCTAGATTTCAACAATATTAACCATGTTTTGATTTATATGTGGAGAATAATTCTCTCATTTCTTTGTACTGTTCTTCTCCCACTAATTTCTGAACATCATCACTTTTTTCTAATGAGAGAACAATTCAACCATGCATTACACTTGGTAGGGAAGGCACAAGAGCTTAGTGTAAAACAAAATGACTGCCCTTAGCTTTCTCACTTTGAAAGACCAAAAGCCTATATTCAATTACACAGGGCTAGTGTTTATGTCACAAATGAAAGATTGTATGTAACCCTGTTTTAATTTGTTGACTATTCTTTATTTAAAATTCTGCACCACAAAATTATCAAATACATGCAAATTGAGTTGATTAGCATGTTGTCACCATGAGACAAAATTTAATGCTTTCAACTGTGAAATATATCAATATTAATAAGCAAATACTTACTGTATTAATAAATGGGTAAAAATCTAGGACTCCTCTGTACTCTCCAGACCTTTTCTCAACAAATACACTTTGGAGGTGTATACAACCATGGAAAATGTTTTGTGAGTGCAGTGAATTAAGAGCCTCAAGTATGTCCCTCAGAACCAAAGAAATACCCTGCAAGTACAGATGCACAAGACATACAGTGCCGTAACAAATAATACTGTTATTAGTTATATGTTATCATAATAATAATACATGGAAATCACCTCAAATAAAATGTGGAGTTTTTCTTCATTCCTGAAATGAACTTAGAGTCCTTTTACAATATCAATATAACATCTATATATCAGAATGAAAATTAAATTAAGCAATGCCATTTTTTTCTCTCAAGGAGACAATAACATGTCTGTTAAAAATAACACTGATCAAGATAGACAGTCCTTTGAGTATCACATGCTTTTTGTTTCATTCTCTTCTGACAATGGTCCCTTCAAGTAAACCTGCCACCTTTCTGACACCTAACAAGTATTTATATAGTTGGGGTAGTACTTGACTTGAGAGTGATCTCCCTTTTAGCACTGACACATTTTGTGTTTACCTCAGGTGAACACTCTTGTAAAGCTATCCACTCTTCAGCACTCATCAAGAGAGGCATTTGGACAAATGCCCTGTTTCCCTGTAATAGAAAAAATATTACAGCTAGTATATATAAGAAATGCTAACACTAATTGACTTCCAATATCAAAACAGCCCCAGGTGAGAGGGAAATTTCCAAAGGATGGTTCAGAGCCAAGCATATTTAAATGGCTTGCTTTACTTCACTACGAGAAGGTCTTAGAAAATAGTCACCTTCCACCACAAAAGCAAAACTATAAACTGAATGCTGCTTCTTTTGACTTCAAGTTTTAAGAGGCTCCTTGTAATAAAGTTCTCAGCTCTGACTGGCTGCCATAATGACTTTAACTTTTGCTTGAGGCATTCACTCAAAATGCACCCTAAAAGGGTTGTGTCACCTAGAATCATTGTTGCTGTGTTAACAATAACTACTGATGTAATCATGACCAGAGAAGTTTCCATTGGTAAGTAATGCTAATTATTGGGAGAATCATACTCAGTTGTGATTATTTTTATATAAAAAGGGCAAAGATTACAAAAATGAAACACACTTCTTGAGCAGTGACTTTCTCAAGAATACAAAAGGCACCATAACAGTTTGTTTTCACTGCATTTCCCTGAATTTAAAGTAAAATGTGTAAATTTAAAATTTAAATTTTGTTTGGTTCCTAAGAGGATGATTAACATCAGAATGAAAAATACCAACTAGGTAGCACTACTGCAAAAACAGTCACTACTATTTCATGCACTTTAGGCAGTTTAAATGTTCTCGTTCCAAAGTTCCACAAAGGAATTTCCCAGTTCTCTATGCCAACTTGTACCTTAGCAAAGAAAGCATCCAGCCGCATAAGGTAAGGGTTCTTTACACTGCTGAAGTGAACAGCATTTTTCTTCAGAGTTTCTATGTCCCCCACTTCTCTGTCAACACTTAGCTCCTACCAAATAAAGACATGGGATTAGTTTCCAGTCAAAACCCAAAGAGAAGTTGGGATTTATTCATCTGAGCATTTGCCGTAACCAAGAACTGTGAATGATAATTGAGGGGCAATCCTTTCCATCTATATGAGTGCAAATTACCTTTAATATACAAGGTCTTCCAGCAAATTCTGTCTTGATCACAGAGCACTTATCATGACTAACAGATGGTACACTATCATGGTGTGGATAATGTTCTAACTCTCTTCCTGGTTTTACCAGTCCATTAGAAGCCTGATAATTAAAAAAAGGACTCAATCAAATCAATCATCAGTCTCAACTTTCAAAATTTTTACTTTTTGCAACAAACTCAAAACAGAATCAGTCTGTATTTTCAGGGTTATGTTTAGTTGGAAACTCTTTGGTGTATTATATCACTGTGCTCATCTGTGACATTTGGACATTTGTAGATGAAGATCAAAACCAATGTGGCAGACATCACAAGAGAGATGTGAATTGTTTCACAAGATTCAAAACAAAAAATTCTGTGATTTGTGATTGATATGGAGGATTTCAGTCCATTTGGTTTTTTCTTCCTCTCTTGTAAATGGCATTTTAATTCCTAGTTTCATGCAATGAAACTGCAAGTCGGTAGTTCTAAATCTCAAAGTTGGCTTTTTTTCTAAGGGCACAGCTATTAGTTATTTTTTGTTAAAAATGCTATTGCATGTTATGATTATTATAACTAAAAACCAAAGAATCTCACTTATCACAAACTAATACAAAAGAGCTCTCAAATATTGGTCTTATATTTGACAAAATAAACCTCATATTATTGCAGTTTCCACTGTTGATTACAAATAAAATGTGATGTAATTGAAAAAATAACACTAGTTACCAGATATTCTGATATTCCCAGTTCAGGATGAGCAATTGGGAGTTCAGGAAAGTGGTGTGAAGCAGCCTTGGCTACATCAGCCTGTCAGGAAGAAAAAATTACTGCATTAGTCTCATACTCATTACTGGTAACACTTTCACCCTCAATGAGCTAATTTTTTCTTACACAAGTCACTCCTGAATCAAACATCAGTGTCATGAGAACAAAGGAAAACATTCTTATTGTCATTGCAATTTGAGAGAAAGATCCATTTTTGTACTCATTGAACAAACTAAAGTTGAAAATATTACGATATGGAGCTAAAAAATGGTCAGCCTATGAAAGGGAAACTGCTGCTAAACCACTAAGGGATATATACACCACCATGGACATTTGTCAAACAGTCATTAACTTTATGCAGAATTAAGATGGACAGAGTGATACTGCAGAATCACCATTCATTTATAGTTTTTACAGTAGCCAATAGTCATTAGTATTACTTTTATGAGTATTTGTGTGTGTGGACATGCTTGTGTATGTATCTGAGGGTGAGAGTGGGTGAATAAGTATGTGTGCCTCACCAACCTAGTTAATTAATTGTATTTATTTAAAATATCTAAGAACTTAGGCAAGCCCTTATGTTTTGTTTTGTTTTGTTGATTTCCTGCACCCTTATTTAATTAGTTTACTTCAGTCTGTATTTTAACTTCATAACCTTGTAAATAGTAGGTCAAATAAATATTGTCTCCTATCTCGGAAGTATAGTATGCAACCCTGGCCGCACCAATTTTTATTCCTCTCAGACTGTAAATGCTGTCCATTAATTCTCTGCAAGTTTAGATACAGCCATACAACCTTACATCCTCATGTCCCTCCCATTATCCTGATTGTCAATGTGTTAGAGACTTGAATAATTATGCCTCAGCAAGTCAGCGCTCAGTTGTAAAAAAAATGTGATGATAGTCATTGCAATAACCCATAGGTGACTTCTGACAGCTGAGTCATAAAATAATACCCCCTCATTCTACATGGAATAGACTCAAAATACCACTTTATTAACCTTGGGGGAGATTCTGGTAGAAATCCATGGAAACAAGGAGTTTCTCAGTATGCTGCATACTTACCAAAAAATTGCTTTCATCCTCAAAACTTTGGTGAAGTTTTAAATAAATTTCAGAAATGTCTTTTTCCACCTATGAAGAAACAAACGCTTCAATAAAAACATGGGAAAAAATGAAATTGTTCCCCATCATCAGTCATGAATACACAGTCCAAGTGTTGTACAATTTTACACAAAAAATTCAATCATAACTACCTTTTGGAGATCTTCAGAAGTTTCTGGCTCATCTCCCTACACACCAAACAAACAATTCAATCCAAAATCTGCTCTTTAATAACACTTCAGTGAATTATTTCTCACCACCTATGCATTAAATGAGTCATCACTACTACCAATGAAAGAGAATTGCAGTCTGAGAGATATTAACCTTCAACTTTCATTTAAGTTGAAATATTGATGCCCTCTCAGACAAAACAACATGATTAAATTCCTGCTTCCCTTAAAAAAAATATCATATTTAATTTATAATACAACTGAATGATAAATGTTGTGATTGGTTTTATGTTGATAATCTATCAAAGTACAGATGTTTGTTTGTTTGACAGTGCACAGGTACAAAAATATTTGAAGATTATTCTGAATTAAGCAATCACAAGCAACAAACAAAGTCAAAAGGAGCTGTGTATCAGGACAAAAAACATGACAACAAGAAAAAAATTATGAGCATCCTTGAAGACCCTAACTAGGGGCAAATGGCTGTAAATGAAATATGGAAGAGCTTTTCTCCCCATGGCATAAGCCCACAGATTCCATTATGCCATGTGTCATTGACAAACCCGTGTGAGGCTTGTGTGCCATTCTACTTCATCTGTGAACTATAAATCAATATATTTCACAAGGCAAAATCATTTCATTTTCTTGAGCTGATCAACTATGCACCATTGCTGTCTGTCAAACCAACCTCTTCCAAGTCTTTCTTGTCTGCCAGTCTATGCCGCAGTCTTGAACGAAGGGTTTTGATACTTCTTTTTATTTCAATGACTTTCTTTATGTCAGGCTTGGTTTCCAGCCATGAACCCATATCAGTCTGTTAATTTTAAATCAGCAAATAAGTCAGAATAACACTGAAAGAGCTATATCAAAATAATGAGTATTCCAAATTTCATTCCAATTTTATAAAACCCTTATTGACATGTTTCATAGTGACTAATTTTCTGCACAACTGACTTTTTATCTTCTGGTTAATTTCCTTCTCTACCATAGAAAACTATTTGAAGGAGCTAATTCCTTAATGATGAGTCAATAAGTATTTTGTTCAAAATAATGTTCTTATTTACTGAAGCGACAATGCAAATATCTAATTAAAATGTCTGAAAAAAAAGGGTTTCTTGACCCTTAGAAGGACAACCCAAGCAAATTGAGCTATGCCAAAAACTAAACTATATAAATATCTGCACTACAAAAAATGGGAAAAGCTGATACTGTATCTGCATAGAAAAACACTGCCATTTTCAATCTCACTTCAGTATGCCTCTTGTCTCTGAAATTTTCATTTGTGTTTTTGATGTGTTGGTAAAGGTCATGCGTCAGCCGACACACTACTGATGCATTGGTGAGATTGAATGCATAAGACCAACCTCATTGGAATATAATTCTAAATCACTGCCATTTTTAGAACCAAACACCAATACCTAGGCTTCTCCTAGTTTTTTTTTTTTTAAAAGGGTCAGATACTGTGTGAGTTAGCATGTTAAGCATTGGTAAGATCAACCACATGTCAGCCAACACACTACCGAAACGTTGGTAAGATCGACCACATAAGAAAAGGAACTCTAAATCGTTGCCACTTTAAGGATGAAACACTAACTAGCATTGGAAGCAAGACCAACCTTGTAGGAAAAGAAATCTAAATCAGTGCCATTTTGAGAATGAAATGCTAGTACCTAGGTCTATCCTTCTAGGAAAAATATAGGAAATGTTTATCTAATGCTCAGTCAGGATAAGTAACTGAGTGAGGACTGGGTTCCAATAACACAACAAACAAGATGGTGGCCAAAAGGAAATTATTCATTTTCATACTGTGAGCGAAAGTTTTCCAAAGAATATGTTATAGATAAGTGTGGAAAAGGAAGGTTCAGCATTGCTTTACATAAATAAGGCTCAAACAAAGTCACCGACACACCACTGACACATCTTGTAGGTTGGAAGGATAAACGTTGGTCAATGTGTTGGTAGGATCAGATTTTTTACCTTCATTGGTGTGTTTTTGTTTAAAATTTAGTCTGTTGTAGGTTAATATCATATAAGAATATTTTGTTCTGAGGTATGAACTGTACATTTTGATTGTTTTTATTTATGTAAATTGAGTAAATTACATGTGGTCAATAGCATATCCTACTAAACTGTGTTAGGAGAATGTCGGAAAAAACATTTGCAAAAAAATAGCAAACAAACAATTAAACTACAAGAAGTCTGAAACTTAAAAGGTTATCTAGTAATTATTTATGAGGAAACAATTGGATGGTATCTGTGTTAAAACTATATAATATTAATTTTGGCCTATAAAACTAACCTGCAGACCTTTGTAATTTATCACCAAATTGTCTCTGTAGAACATGACAGACAACAAGAGACATTTCCAAGTATTTGACTATAACCTGCTCATAAATAAACTTTTAATTTACTTAATAGATCTAAGTACAAGGCTCCATGATATGAGAGAAGTTGTGGGGTTTATTATCCAATTCTTTATGGCAATTATGTCTATTGAATAAAATGATTTAAGTGGAAGAATTTTTTGGAATGAGCCTCTTAAGTGCCTTTTCTTAATGTAATACCAACAGCCCTGAGTGTTGTAAGATGGAATACTAGACTATTTGAAAGGAGAATTTACAAGTTAATCAGTTCACTTACATGTCAGGCTATTTCATGCTCCCTTAAGTTCAACAGAAAGAAGAAATTATTGCTATAAATAGAACCACAAAACCTACCAACTTTCAAAACTAAGTGTAGAGTAGTTCAGACTGATATATCACTTTACACAATAAACTGAATTATATCACACTTGCATTGATATTTACTTAACCCTTTAACTCCCATGAGTGATCAAGACCGAATTTCTCCTTACAATATCAATACACTATCAACCAGATAAGTGATGAGAACAGAGAAAAATATCCATTTGGGGATAATTAGTTGATCCAACCCTAAATTCTCTGAACTAACATTATGAGAATTGTATGGTTGACAATATGAAGAATTACAATTTTCATCTGGGAGTTAAAGGGTTTAAATGATCTACTGGAGGACAGAGGCATTAAAGATGTCACCATTAACATTTTTGCTACTTTATCATATAACACAAATAAGTTCCATGTTACAGGTTTATTCTGTAACAGATTACAAAAAATGTCAAAATGTGGTGGGAACATCAGTGACACACTCACCATGCCTAGTGTGCCTCTTTAGTTCTACAGAACATTTTTTCATTATCTGTGATCTATTACTGAACAGAAGTACTGCAACATGGAAAATATTTGTTAGATACTTTTCAATAAGTCAGCATGCAAACTAGTGAAGACTCTACAAGATAAATGTACTTCTTTTTCCCCAAAGAGTTTACCTCAGTTCCTGAATTTCCTGCAACTCTTTACTTAGTTCACCAATAAGTGCTTTTATTGTCTGATCAACTAACTGCTGTGCCTCTTTATCCTCTGATACCTAAACATGTAAATCAATTTCAAAGTCCCCTTGAATTTAGCCACTGTTAAATGTTTCACTTTTTTCCCAAAAATCTACTGTGAAAAAAAAAAAATTCAAAGGTATGTGCCTACTGCTCCAGCATTGTTACTGTTGCTCACATTGTTAGGAAGTCCATAACAATTTTGACAAAGATAGTAGATTGAAGTAATTATCTTATCAGTAATTAAAACTGACAATAGTTATAGTACCTTAGACTTGTCCATTTCTTCGTGAATAGCTGAAGTCAAAGCATTGATCAATGTATCCATGTCATCAAACATAAGGGAGGTACTGACAGCTTCACTGCTCTTTTGTAATACTACCAGAGCCTATTAACACAAATTAAATGAATGGAAAAATCATGAATACAACTTGCTGAAAAAGTCCAGATTGCCATATTTTCTTTTGCCATATAGGGGTGCATTCATCATGTTCAACCCAACTTACCGACTGTAGATTGGACAGTGCTGTTACAAGGTCATCTGTACATTGGTTGACTTTCTGTCTTACATCTGCCATATCTTGATGGGTTCTCTCCTGTGATGGAATGCAGAATTACTCAACACTCTAAAATATAAACTTCAAGGGAGTTTTGTATTCAAGCAAATATGAAATAGACTTCTCCATTATGCTAATTTAATTAAAGGAAATAAGAGTTAGAAAAACAAACAAACAGTGTAAGGTCCACACTCAACTTTAGTGACAGGCAAATAAAGATCAAAGGCAAGCGCATCACAATCTCTATGGCATGCATTACCAGACTGGGAGTGTTTCTACTTCCTCAAAATGGGATGCCACACCCAATCCGTAACTTTTTAATCCCCCCCCCCTCCCCCACCCCATGCCCCTCTGCAATTCTTCAAGTTTCCCTGACATTTTGCTGGTACCTATTCAGATCCCTTGGTAGAGACAGAGGCATATAGTGAGTGAAGTGTCTTGCCCCTCTCCACTCAAAAGTATACAATGATCTCAGTAGAAATATTAAAAACTATTGGTAAGTTTATCTGATTGACACCAATCAATGAAACCATGGCCTGAGATTATAATCACTGGGGTATTATAAATTATTCCTTTCTTCCTCTCAGTGAATATTAGTTGAGCTTTAACTGATACTTAAATGCAGGTTTTATCAATACATACCACCCAATCCTCATAAGCTTTAACAGCCTCTTCTACAGCTAGATCACACTTTGTATTGGAGCTGGCTGGAAAGTTATAAATTCAAAATTTCTTAATTTCATCTTTTAATCAAAAATTTTACATCAGGTTATCCATGGGAGTCTTTCCTCATGGGTCCACTTGTGGGAAAACCTTTTTGAGCAACCTTTGCAATATTCTTGCAACTGTATCTCTTGATTGAGTTCTTTAATATCAAGCAAACTCTAAATGTGAATTAAATATCTTTTATTAACTAAGTCTGAGGTCTTTACTGAAAGTTTATGGCCAGAATGTGGAAAAAACAAGGTTCTGTAACTTAAAGTACGAACCAAAAGAAGTGAGGTTAGAGGATATCCATAAGAGATTAAAGCTCATTTGGCAACTAAAACAACCTTTTGAATTTCGCCAGCATTACACTGAAATATGGCCTGCTAAATTGAACAATAATAGTAAATGTATTAACTGAGAAACATAAATAAGTATGGTATTTCAACTGCTAAATATCCTAGGAATTGAATAAAAATTAATATTTTCCACACTTTGGGGAAAGCTGTCAATACCTCCTTGGTCTTGAAGCTGAACCAGTGCATCCTGAAAGAAAAAAAATGAATGTAAAATACTTCAATGTTTCTTTCCAGAAAATAATCCCATTTAACAACATAAAATAAATTGAAATCCAATTGTCTCATTACCTGTAAACATTTTTCTCTTTGTTGAAGAGGTAGCAAGTCCACTTCTTTACAAAACAGATCAATGCTATCAACAAACATCTGCCTTACTTCATCTCTCTTGGGTATCAAGTCAGCTGAAAACAATTTCTCCTACAGTCCCCCAATACAAAACAAAATAAGTCTACAGAGGCTAACATAGTTCCACACTTATGAGATCAAAATATTGATGTCAATGTTATATCATGTGTGAAGTTGCATATGTATGATAAGGGTTTTTTTCAAAGTTCTCAGTTGTGAACTGAACTAGAAAATGTTGTAAATGTGTTCATATCATTTTGTTAAGCTTTATGGGAGGAGACCAAATAATCCATGATATTTAAAATGAACTTGCATCTGAGGCTTCAGTGTTCAATCCTATTATCTGACAAAGTTTTTACATGCACCATTTACCAACTTTGCGAACAATGTGCTTTTTACCTTGTCTTCACAGTGCCGCAAATCATCTTGTGCTTGTTGAAGATTCTTTTCCAACTCCTGAACCTAAAGATTTGAAGAATCACAACAGGTAACCCAAACTGGACATTAGAAAGGGTTTCATATATAAAGCTTGCTTACATGTAGCTGTGTTTCTCCAGATAATCAATCTGTGTCAATATCTTTATACCTGTTGCAAAGACTTTAAATTCTTCAAATGAATCCTGTCATTTCTTGTCATATCTATTGTTTCCTTGATCAGCTCTGAAGTCTTTCCATTAGCTGGAGCAGCATCTCTGCAAAAATAACAAGAAACTCCATGACAAAGAAGAGAAACTCATCAAAACATACATCAACCCTTTCTGTGATCCTTACTTCTTACCTCATTGCTTTAAGATCATGGACTTTGCCTACCAAATCTAACACCTACCAGAAAATTAATGAAACATTGCATCAGCTTAGAGTAAAGTATTCAGGTGTCTTTTGAAGATTATTTCAGAAGTCAAACCATTCTAAGAAACAAACTTTAATTTGACCATAAGCCTGTCAGATGCATGTAAATTAAGATTATACATATCCACAATTTGTCAAGGTAGTGGACTTGTAATTCAAATCTGCTTTAAGTTGATTAACAGAAAAGAAATCTTACCTACAGCCAACATCATTGAATCAGCTACTATAGATTTCTCATAACCACATTTGTCAAAAATTTTGTGAAACTCAAACCTTATGGCTGACAGCTTGTTCCATATTTTCCTTGTGTTTGGCTGCTTGAGCAGAATAATATTTTCGTAATTCATCAACAGCTTTTTCACCCTCCTTTTAAGAAACAAAAAAAACTAAATAAATATACACTCCAATTATTGATGGAGACTATATCATGAGCAACCCTTTAAATGATCACATAGCAAACAATCACCAAAATAAACAATAAGTGAACAGCAAAAGATATAGAATCAAAGCTTACTTTATACACTTTGATACGATTTCTCAACAACTGATTTTCTTTGGTCAATTCCTCCATTTCCTTACTTATGGCTTCACTGAGTGAGGTTCTGTGTATTTTAACAGATTTCATGATGAGAATTATTACAAAAAGGGAGTCAGCATCAGACTATGAGCAACAAAATCCAGACTTATGCTAACTGCAAGTGATTTCTACCTTGGAGATAATGGAGGTGGACCATCCTAAGAGAAAAAAGAAGAAAAAAATTAACAGTTTTCCTACATGTATATAAATCTTCTTGACTATTTTTTGAGGTAACATTGACGTGTGTGTGACAAAAGACCTCAAGAGTAAGCAGATTAGGTTACTAAGCCAAGTTCTGAAATAGAACCCTACAGACCATACCTACATTTCAGCACACGCACAATTTTATAGTACCTGTTCAGCAGAAGTTGAAATAACAAGCCCATGCCTAATCAACTCTTCGGCGATATTTCCAATTCCCCCTTCAGAATCATCTCTCAGTTCTACTGCACAGGCCACTGAGGGGAAGGAGAGAAACACAACAAATGAAGTAAAAACCAATGGTTTTAACCAAATGCAGATAATAGACATATACAACTTGAAGATTTTTAAAAAAATGTACATTTTATACACAGGTAAATTTTGAAACCCTTGGGAAGAATATTTAAAATGTGAAATTATCTGATAAGCATACCATCTAAAGCCCTTCTTGGCTCTTTCAATTGTATGGTTAGGAACTTGCCATTGGTAAGATTATGTAGTATGTTTGAGCCCTGCAAAAAAGGAAACACTTTCAAAAATTTTAAAACAAGGCATTTTCAAACTGTCTTTGAAACCAAAAGGAAGGTCAACACAATAGATCATTCAAACAAAGAGAGAGAAATGAAGAAAACTTTTAAGAAAATCATGCCTACAGGCAACCACAGACACAGTAAAACAAGTGATTAAGTTAAACAATTGATTTAACTTTCACATTTTATTTGTAAAGAAGGAGAAATTAATTTTGCAGATAGCATGTGATAAAACAATAAAAGCATTCCTGGATTTCACTTGGCTCTCTTTGACAAAACATAAACTGCATAAATTCAGGTTCTTGTAGAAACTAAAACCCAAATGAAAACAACTAACTTTGTAATATTTCATAAAATGTTTAAAAGTTGAAAACAGTGATCTAAATCAAAATGTACCTCAACTAAAAGTTCTTCACTAGTTACTGCCACACCATAAAGGCAATACAGCTGGGCAAATGGAGCCGGGGAGAGAAAGTCATGTGACAGGAATACAATACTCCGCAGACTTATAACTTCAGTGTTACCAAAATCTACAAAATGTACCTTGACCTGAAAACAATTTCAATTTAAAAAACATTTTTTCACCAACATGTGCTTTTGGCAAAAAACTGAAAGAGTCAAACTTTGTTTATTATTAACTATCAAACAGCATGGAGCACATGCATGAGACTACTTGACAAGGGACATGTATGCAACAATGTATGCATGCAAGAAATCAAAACACATATCAGACCTGTCACTACAGCCTGTAGTTACTTTCTAAACTAAGTGAAAAGCAGACAAACCTTTTGATCCTGTTCACTTAACTGGTGGCAGTAGTCCTCAAAAGGAGACACTGTCATCAGAGACAGTGATAGACATTCATGCTTTTGACAACAGAAGCAGAAGTTACAGGAACTACAGTACTTGCTAAGTTTCAGTTTTACCCTATGTGGTTTCATTTATTCTATTAAGTTTAGTAACTCTAGCCTCTGAACAAGTAAGAACTAGCTTACTGCGATTAGTTTAATTAAAGAAGATCAAAGGCAACTGAGCCCTTTTGATCAATGTAGACAAATTACAAGTTATCTTTTGCTTTTTATGGTAAACAGAATATGATACCTTATCATCTTCAATAAGCTCCTTGACCCGGCAGCGATACCACTGTTGATCCTCCAGGTAAACTCCACCATAAATCTAAATGATAACACTAGTTAGAGGTACAAGTAGGACCAGAGAAAAATAAAATGTTGACTTTATCATTTGGTCAGCAACAACTTGGATATAATTTTCACCAGAAAGGACTCACAAAACCAGGTTTGCAACTGGAAAATGACAAATTTGCAAAGATTTCAATGTCACAGACCGGAAGATGATCTGAGTTCAAGAATCAAAGAATCAAAATGGAGATAAGCAAAACCATAGCAATTTCAGAGAAGACACCTCAAGTAGGAAAATTAGTTTCCAGGGCTGATAAAGACAAAGTTGTACCCCACCTGTAGTTGTAATCACCACCTTCTACACACAGCACTTATCAATAATTTTCCCTCACATGTTGGGTTTTATTCAAGGATGATTTGATAGAAGTATTTCTCAATCACAACACCAGCATTTGATCAAATCTGAATCATGATGCATTATTCTATAGAAAACAAGTTTCCTATGATTTCTTAAGTGCTTTTTATTGTAGAGGCAAAAGTTCTCTATAGAACTCTTGATTAACACTTATCTGGGTTAGCACAATGTTTACCTTGCCAATATGTGGCGTGGATTGTAACAAAGGCTTGTTTCTACAGTAAATCTGAAGGTCACTGGTCATCTTCTCAATCACGTGAGCTGTCTCAGCTTCCACTGCCTGAAAGAAAAAAATTTTTGAAAGATGCAAGTACATGCTGAGATTTCATGTGTTTCTCCATACCAGATGCAAATAAAATGGATAGTACTTTTTCATAATCTTATCTAGAGAGGAATGTATTTTACAGGAATCATAATGATGATTACCAAAAATAAGGGGAAAAAAGTAGAGCAGCTGGTTCAGGTTTTATTATCACCACTTTCCAAAAAATTGGTCAGGATCTACACATCTAACGATACCAAAGCCAGGATGATCTGGGCTCAAGATAAGCTAAAATTTTTACAAATTTGAGCTGGTAAATCACCAAAAACTTTTTTACTTCTCTTTGTACTTATGACTGTCACTGCTTGTTGTGAATTCTTCAACCCCATTTATGTTCATACAAAGATGTTTTTAAGTAGATATTAAAATTTACAATTTACTATTTTAAAATATACAGACAATGAGGTTGTGGACCTGGAAAAAATACCTTGACCTATGGCCAGGTTTTACACCCTGAAAGCAATAAAATTCTTTTAAAGTTGTTTCATGTTTTTTATTAACTTAAAATACCACAATCTTTTTATGATGAAAAATAAAATTGAGCTAGTGGGAAATCCTCATCAAAACATCACAATACATTTATGTCATATTAAGATGAACGTCCTGATTAGAAGATATATACATTGTATACAACTTCATGACAAGATGTCAAATTCTAGTCAGGTTCAAATGTTTAGTACTTTTAGCAGAATTGTCTTTTGTATTTACTACCTGTGCCCAAAATCTAACAGGACTCTCCACATGGGTTATGAAAACTGGCTCCTGAGAAATGAACAACAAACTGATATCATTTTTTAATTCACTTAAACAAAACCACTTAGGTTTTTTTCTGCCACACTCTAAAAGTACCACAGCCCTATAACCCTGCAATTACAACAACAGTAGTCTAAAGGTTATAAGTTGTGATTAACAAAGCTGTTTGAGCTTATCCTGCCTTGTATAACATGCAGCACTGCAGAGTATTGAAACTTCTCCTGGGCAAAATGCTTACCATAACAGGTTAACTACACCCAATTTTTCTCAGGTTTCTCTGACAACTTACAAGATAAAATATACAGGTACTCCTAGGTGGTCAGAGGTAATGGGAAAGAAAACCATTGTGTCTTACTCAAGGACCACCAAATGGCTTAAGAGGTCAGTTCACATACTATGAGGCACATGCCTTCCTATACTATTACAACAGAGATGCCACTACATATTTCAATCAATAATCCTGTCTGTAGAGAGGAACAGCCATGTATGAAATCCAAGGATCAGGAGGCAGCACAAACCCAAAGATGTTGATTAAGAAATCATCAAGTCTCCCTGAAAACTTTGCAAAGGGATAGAGATACAATCCCTTAACGAACTTCTTGTTGTACAGTACCTCAGTTAATCCACCACTCTCTTCTTTAGGAGTCAAAGGGGGAACATCAACACTGTCTGCAAGAAAAAAATATAAACTCAAATATGAAAGACTTGAATCCATTGACTCTGAAACTGACCACCTGTAGTGAGTTAGAGTGCTGATGTTTGCATCCTGAATGAGATCTGATCTTTTACCAAATACAATGTGCCCGCACTAATCCTTTAAAACATGAAGAAAAGATCTTCCAAACCATATCACAATAGAAATGAAATGGAAAAAAATTGCATTGTTTGCCTTTCATCAACGTCACTTATGATCATGATTGAGTTGATAATTCTCAAAAGCAAACAGGCACTTAATAAAAACAATAAATTGATCCACCTTCAAAAGAGCTTCCTCTTCTTTGTTTGAACTTTCCTGGCATAACATTGTTGTTACTGGACCAAGGGTTCATTGGACTAACTGGTGATTTTGGACTTCTGTCATAAAGGATCACAAAGACAAAAGACAATAAAGAAGTTACAAGCTATATATTAAATATAAACAGTATAAATACTTATTCAGAATGTGCATCTGGTATAAAAGCATACAACTCATAGAAGTTTCAAGTTCTGATTTCATTTTGGTTGCAGTATGCTGAAGTAATACTGTACAGATTCAGAGTTGTCAAAGAAGTCAGACTTCACAATTCTCACGCCTTTTCGTTTAGCAAGGTCTGCATAAAGAAATGAGGTAGCAAGAGAGTGGTGTTAAGTGCCAAGAGAATATCTCCCAAGTGTGAAGAACAGTTTTAAACCTTAAAGTAACCACCATGTAATTTCTCATTACAGTATAATACTACAAAATCAATCATTAAGATAATGAAAACTAAAGAAATCATTGCCAACTAAAGAAGCTTTGATTGTTCAACAAATTCTCCTTTTCAGAACCAAAGGAAATTTATAAAGAAAAGTATAGAGAATAAAGATAGTGATGTTAAGGAGTAAAGGGTTAAAAAAATAGCTCAGGCCATCAGGAATTTAGCCAAACAATCTTGAGTAGTAGCTTGACAATTCCCCAGTTTTTATTGCCATGTGAAACCTACTTTTCTATTTTTCTCATAATTAATATTAAGCTCTAGAGCCCTTTGTTTCACTGTAACTGCCCGTTGCAGATGTATTTGAAATCTTCCTTACTGTGGTTGGCTTGACCTGAAATCTCCATTTGGACTAGCCCAAGAATTCTGTAATGATAAAAAATAATCATTTGCAAACAACTCAAGGAAATAAATTATAGAATTTTTTTTTGTTCAACAATTAATTCTGTATGAATGGGAAAACACACAATAATCATAAGCATGTTAACCCACCAGACATAATGGTTGACTCAGTTAGATCCTAATTTAGATTTGTGGCACAAGCAAAGCTCTAGGAGTTTGGGGAGAGCATGCATCAATAGCTGACTGTCAAATCAATTGGAAAAGACTCTTGGGGAGGACAGCTCAATTTTCTCTCTGGAATCACGGGGCCATTGGCTTTCAGTGCAATCTCTTAATGTTCTAATCATATTCTGCACAGTGTATCCATGAGGTTACCATAGTGTCACTTCGACTGGTCAACTTTCCTACCTCAACAATATTACATATGGAATACTGCTTGCAATTTCCAGGAAGAATTCATTCATAGCGACAGGCCTCTATTCAATAAGTATCCTCCCTCTGATTAACCCGGTGAAAAACACCTACTTCATAAAAAGATTACAAATTAAACATAAGAAATATTTAGGGAATTTACCTTATAAAACGAACGGAATCTCGCACGATTTGAGATTTGTCAATTGCGACACGAAAAGCCGTAGAAGCTAACGTTTAAGGTATTTTAAAATAATCCACGATCAATTCAAGAACTAAAACTTTCTATCCCAAAAAGGCATGGTTAAAATATACTAATATGTTTGTATTGCGCCTTCTATCTAGTGCTTCTTTACGAGATGTAAGTTGTCACCCTCAGTGGCTGTCAAACTTTGACAGCTCGGAAAATTACTCCGAATCGGTCAATTACCTGACCTCTCTACAATTACAAATGACTAATCCAGCGAAAATCTATAATTTCCATCTTTAAAGAAAAATGCATGCGCGCTGACTGAGAAGGACTCGTCTTTACACGTGGACGGACTGGAATTTGCTGGATCTGTATCTCACCTCACTCCTTCCGAAAGGACGCAACCTCAGTGACATCGTTCCTGACTTCTGCTCCACATCCATCGCCTTTGAGAAAATAACACTAACCAGAAGATCTTCTTTGATTCCTTAAATTTCAACTCATAAACTTGAGTTGTCTTCAAATTTCAGAATTACGGGGAAAAAAGGAAAGTTTCACTTCACTACAGACACAGTGAGCGGCGCGGTGTGTCAAATTCACACCTTCCCGCGCTCCCTGCACTCAACACGTGTTGGGCTCATTAACAAACATGTATATACATCATGTCTCCTTACACGACATATTCAGAGGATTCTTCGAAAAATCGCTGCCGACATCGCTGCCTTGATGATGACGATGTGCTAGATCTTTTTCTAGAATGATAAGCAACAATGCTATTTAAAGAATTTGAATTAACCTTTCTTATTTAATAAAAAAAGAAAAATATATAATTGCAAACATAAGACGAATAATGAAGTGATTGAGGGAGGGGTAGGAGGTTAGAAAAATTATTACTACCCTCCCCTCGGTGACAATTCACTACAAGGGAAAGAACTGGAGATGGCAGAGGTTTGCCTCGATCTTCGTAACAATTTTTCAATTTTGTAAGCTAATTCTTTTTCAGTCAAAGCTTATTCTGTGATTTTTCCGCCATTAGGGAGTCCATAATTATTTTCAGGACCTTTTAGCAAAGTAAGTGCTGTTAAAATACCAAAACGTTGATTTTCTGTGAGTTGAATATTTAGTCCTTAACCCAGTGTCTCGTGACTTTTTCTCCTCAATCTCGTTTTAATATCCACCTTCTTTTTAGACACGAAGGAATTCTTGCCATTTTGGTTACCGATAGAGATGGAGTTCCGCTCATTAAAGGTGAAAGATGCGAATATTTATTCTGATAAATATCTTTTTCGATTTCGAACTAATCGTACAGCAACTGTGACTGAGTGTTTTCCCTATTTCCTTTGAGGTTTCAGCTTACCGATTTCAAAATTGTCCGTGAATAATTCTCGTTGAGCATTCAGTATTTGCCTTTCTGTCTAAAAAGAACCCATTATAATATAAAATGGTAGTTTAATATAACTGAACATGTTAAAAGGGAAACATATCTTTGTTGTTAGAACTGTGATAAAAGTCCTACACCAGGAGAGAAGAGAGAGGGAGAGAGTAAGAGAAGTTGTGAGCACTCACGAACAAATATTAGTACTTGCTACACCTCTATGTGGTCCCTGAGAGTTTGAATAAAACAGTAAAGTTTATGTTCATGAACAGAAATATGTTCTAGGTCTGACCCAGGTAATTCTAGCCTGAACCATTAGGCAATGGTTATAGTGAGCTCTGAGAGGGGCTCAAAACATATTTATGTCTACAATCACAGACTATATTACTATTGTTATCACTTTGAAGGGCACAGAGATAATAAGAACTGAAAAAAGTGAGGACCAAACAGTCTGAACAATGACACTAGGTAGGCAGAAGATATTTCAGCCCTCCAAATCTCCATTTTAGCCCACAAAATGGACCATGATGCCCTACAAAGTAAAAATAATAAGAAGCTTACCTCTTTTTTCATTTGAACTTTGCAGTTTATGATCCTAAAACTCCACAAAATGCACTAAGAGCAAGTTTTCTCTCCACATTCTCCACAACAGCTGAACAAGTAAGTGAGACGGGCATATTTGTCGTAGATACGATTGTTTTTCCGATCATGGCATCTGTGGGAAATCAGACACATCTACCTGTTTGCAGAAAGGTTGGGAAAAAGTGTAAAAGTACATGTAACAACCCTGAAAGGCAAATGAAAGTGGGTAGTTTTCAGGTCACTGTTCCTTGACCTCAGGATTTCAGGGAAATCTGAGAAAATATCACTGCAAGGAAGATGCACAGCAGGTTTCCTGAATTAAATTTGTTTGCAAAACTGACTTTTAGTTCTAAACTTGATTAAAAAAGGAAAAATAACAAACTGACCCTAACTGATGACAGAAGCAATGTAAACTCAACAAAAGTGAATTTGAAATGACCTTACAACTATCTTCAATGCATCATTCTCTTGTTTTGTTCCTCTTGCTTTAAATGCATGTTGGTATTTATCCCTCTGTTCAGTAGTCCTTTTGTCCATAATTATTTGTTTCACTTATTAAAATTCATTGATCGCCAGATACCAACATTACCTTTTGAGATTGTTTGTGCACTTTGTCTTTTTTCCTGACGGCCGTTCTGCAAACAACTGTAAATTTAGGCTGATCCTAATAATTTGGTCGTGAGACAGTTGTTAATCATACCTATTTTACCTCCTGGTCTGAAAGAGCTTGTTTTGAAATGTGTAAATCAAATGTTACAATTTTTGCTTTCAACTTGTTGAGAAGACAAGAGAGGGTTGCCTTTTGAGAGAGGTACTCAGAGAAATATTTATGATAAGACATTAATTATTGAGTCTTTTTTCCATCTTCATATTCCTGTGTTCATTTGCAGGCAAGTAAGCTTGGATTATCAAAAAACAAGAGCATCGTTTGTTTTTTTGCTTCCTATCAGGTCAGAAAATGCCCTTTGAAATGATAACAATTAAAAAAATAGTTTATTCAGTGTATTTTTCCTTATTCAGTGTATTAATAAATAGGGGAAACAAATTGTGGAGGCAGTTTTTAATGGCAAACTTAGCACAATTTGACCAAAATCATAAAATCTTTTTCCTAAAAAGTACTGAACTTTATGTGGAGTTCAAGTATTCATTAACTTGTATTTTCATAATACTTAATGTGAGGTTGCCAAAGATCAGTTTCAGCCACTTTGTTGAAGGCAATGGTTTTAAACTTTTTAACCCTTTAACTCCCCAATTTGTTATTCTCTTCACTGTCAACCATACAATTCTTATAATGTTAGTTCAGAGAATTTAGTATTGGATCAACTAATTATCCCCAAATTGATATTGTTCTTTATTCTCATCACTTATCTGGTTGATATTGTATTGATATTGTAAGGGGAAATTCATTCTTGGTCACTTATGGGAGTTAAAGAGTTAACAAAATAGCTTGCATAAGTTATCTTCTAAAATTAAAACAGAACAAAGGTTTCACCTTAAATCTTCAATAACTGAACTTTTAAGTGAGCACAAAGTAAATATCTATTTATTCAGTTATGTATGTATCAATATATTTTCCAGGTGGTTCATTTTAGTTTTCTTCCTTTGGTTGTCAGCATCATTGCAACAAATCAGGCAAACACAGGTAAGTAATCTGGGAGCCCATAATTCCAGGAAAAATTCCAGGTATGGGTTGTCTAAAAGCTAGCATGAATTGCCTGAATTTGTAACTAACTGAATGGTAACTTTGGGGGTAAAGTTAAGATTATGAGAGGCTCTACAATGAACTTTGGGAAACAAAGCTAACATAAGAATTCTTCTTACAGGTCTTCTTCTGGGATTTGAGAGTGAATTCACTGAAATAGTGAAGGCAGTCAAAGTTGTGGTGGATGGTGTTTAGCACAAATATATTATACTGATATTCATTTAAGAATGCAACTCTAAGTTAGAATTAAGAAATAAAATAATTATTTTTGTATCACCATTTTTGAAATTCTAAAGCATTTTTTCTCTCTCATGACGGATGTTCTGTTATTATCACTATTTAGGGATCATGTAAATGGGGATAATCAACCCCAGTTTGAAGCATAATGCCTTGTTTTAAGAGATAACTGCAAACTCCTATCCAGTAATAGCCTGCCTAGTTTTTCATCATCCAAGTAGGAGAAGCATAAGCTGCATGAGTGTATGGGGTGAAGGCAAGCTAACAGAGAGTCCCATGCCCCTATGCAATTAACATATTTCCCAGTTCAGGGCGTGAAATTGCGCCTAATACAGGCGCCAATGCGACTAAATTTTTCTCTTTGGCGACCAAATCCTGAAAGTTAGTCGCCAAATTGGCGACTAGAACGTTTCGTCATAACCTTACCAAGAGATAATATAGTGAATTAAAAAGATTTGCTAAGATAAATCCGCGGCAAACTTCCTCGTTAAGTTTGTTTCCAAAACGTAGCACATGCATCTCGATCGATAACTAGACGCCATCTTGGATTTAGATGAGCCTGAACGTTGTATATCATCCATCCTAGTGTCCACTTTGTAGCACGTTAAAGATCTTTTCCCTAACTTAATTTTGGAGGGTCTATCTAGAACGCTGACAGCGTAAAGAAAGATTTTGTTTGTCTTTGAAAATCGCGACCAACTTTTTTTCAATTGGCTACCGCTTTGAAGAATTTAGGAGCCAAGTGGCTATCAGAAAAAAAAGTTAATTTCACGCCCTGCAGTTGAAATGGAATTAGAAAAGGCCTGCTTCTCAAGTTTGTGCAATATTTAACCAGAGGCCCCTTACAGGCCCAAATTCAAAATTTGGCTATGTTTCTGTTCACCTACAAGCCATGGTTGAGGTCTAAAAGCAACTTATGTAAGACTCAAGGCTAGCTGAAAAGAATGTTATAACTTTAACATGCCCTTGAAGTGCTTCTCACACACCTTTCAAGTATAGGCAGACATACATCATCAACTAACTTTGCCAGATATGGCCAATGATTCAGATGATTCAGAGTACATGACAAGCAACAGCCCATGATTTATCAAGACGAGCAAAATACCATCAAAAGATGATGAAAAATTTCAGGGTACAGTGGCAAAAGGAATATTTAACCAGTCTCCAAGAACAACACTCATTTCTGATTCAAACCAGTGAATGCATGAAGATTCACGTGTTGAGATACATGAAGAGCTCAAAAGATGCTTTTTTGCCTTACCTTGCCTTCTTTATACTCTCTGCTCTAAAGATGTCTTAAAAGAGTGCATGCATGGTTATATTCAGTGTAGTTTAACAATCTTCCCTAAAGCTTGGTTCTTTTGGGCCAGGTGCATTTTAGAACATAAAAAATTTAAGAAAACAACTCAAAAAACGACCATCATTCTTACTCTATTTACTAACCTCGTACCCAGGTCCTACCGTATAATTGTAAATCTAGGGAACTTACAACCGCTTGGCCATGGAAGGTATGGGTATAAGACTAAACAGTTCTCACTATTTTTAAAATTCGACTGGCAGGTTCTTAGGGATTATAGCTGGAGAAAGGAAAATCAAAAGGAGCGCGAACAATTTTGACATGATCAACTCTGTAATTTCTCGATAGATTTGGCTTTAGATGCAGGCAAATCTTTAATGCCTGTAGACCAGTCTTCAAATAGTGCAATATCCTTTGGTAAGTAGCGTTTAGGATAATGATTTCATGTGTTTCTACACAGAATCTTGCAGATCATTTCCTTGATTTCTCGTTTCATCTTCTCATCTCGGATTGAATATATGAACGGGTCGATGCAGCAGTTACAGAGAGTAAGTACCAGTCCAACGCGAACAATCCACGGGGGAACGGAATTTGACGCCAATATCCTCCAGACGGTTGCTAGGGTGTAGATCGACCAGCAGGCAGCGAATGAACCAATCAGCAACAAGACCGTTTTCAGGGCTTTGTTGTCGTCAGCAGTTGCAGCAGCATGTGTGTGTTTTGTAGCAGTGCTTTCTTTCAGTGGAACGCGCTCACCTTGCGGTGACTCTTCCTTTTGGGGATCATAACGAGCTGCGGCTCTCTTCGAAGCCCTTGCTATGCAATAGATCTTGTAATAGGCGTATATCATTGCGCCGACTGGCACTGCGAAGGCGAAAAACGCCAAACACAATGCGTAGGTTTTATTAGCCAGCCCTTCCCCTCCCCAATCGGGTTTGCAAGTGTGCGTAAACTCGTCCAACTTTGTGCTTCCCCATTTCAATAACGGACCGCTGGCCCAGAACACCGAGTGCAGCCAGCTGGCGATAATGATCAGTTTGTAGCGTCGTTTGGTGAAGGTCAGATGGGCTCTGCTCTCCACTGGTTTTGAGAGGGCGAAATAACGGTCCACACTGATTATGGCCAGCGTCACAACGGAACAGTTTACTGACACGCTGATGAGAACAGCGTATAACTGACACAAGATGTCTCCAATTGGCCAACGGTGCAAAACGAATGCCGCTATTACTAGCGGTATGCAAAACACACCTTAAGGAAAGAAAGGAAAAATTA